TCAATGTATGTATGTATTACATACATAATTAACGTTAATATATTAATATATATGAAACATATATTAATTCTTTTTGATGTTGTTTTACATCTTGAAGCATTAATTATTTATTAATGTACAAGTTCATAACGACAATAAAAATGACATATCTTGTACAAGTATTAGATGATATTATGCGGTAGCGTTACAAAGTGACAAGTTCTATTTGAGAATAATATCGGCTCACAGATCAAACAGTGCAATAATATTATATACTTTTCTGTTTAATTCAAAATATAATTATAAGTTGATAATGATACATACTAATACGTTATGTTACTGCTGACCCTTGTAAAACTTTGCATTGTTCGACGAGTAATATTTTTTAATGAAACTATATCTCCTCAAGTCATAAATGTTCGTAGCATGTTCAAATAAGCAACAGAAGACTTACCTGTTTTTGGAGATAATATTACGTTACTATAATAGATTACGCTTTAACCCTTATGGCAATACTCAAACTTTTCACGTTAGATGAAAATCCCGGCGTACCCAAGTACTCATTATAAAATTACATTGTATAAGTAGAAAAAGGGTCGTTATTAGTCCTTCTAACATACTTTTTCGGTTTCTTCTAACAACAGTATCTGTGACAATCAATGTTTCTCCCCTCTCCATTTTCGACATGTACATATTTGATGCAGCATAGTGGAATAAAAGTAACTTTTTGGACTAATGATTGTTTTTAATTTATTCGTTACAAATTGCTTTATAGCACACTCGTGCGAATCTTTATAATTGAAATTTGAAATAATGCGGATCCACGACATTTGTAAAAAATATAAAATTTCTAGAATATTATTAACTATAGTTATTCTTACGAACTTACGTAAAATTGTTGAAATTATTTGGATCCGGGAACAATTGGTGATATTTCAATGGAAATTACTGAAATTTAAAAAAAAAAATTGGGGCACTCGGGTATCCGGATATTGACATAATGGTTAATCAACAGTATTTATTTCAATTGCCCAATGTGCTGATATTTTATTTTATTATAAAAATAATTTTATAACTTTGCATTTTTATTATTTTGTACTTTGAAATATTTTAAACATATGAAAATTATATACATGTGCAACAAAGTATTAATATCAGCTGTGGTATTATAATCATAATATGTCGATATAATACTCACGTCTCCGAAGCTACTAATGGACAAATCAATAATATTTCCAGCGGTAAGTTTGGTGGTCGCGTTGGACATACAAATGATCAAGATGATGGCGTGACTTTTTCTTCCAGGTAGCCGATACCAATCGATCATGTATGAGCTCTCACGTATTTTCATGGCCTGTTACAAGATTTGTTTTACAATTCTATTATAGGTAACTATCGTTTTAGATTATCGATAGAAAATTGTTTTAGATTATTTCATATCTATTATTTGAAAAAAAAAATAGTGCAATACGGAAGTAATAACGGAAGTACCTGTTCCGCTAAAAGTTCACCTATATAACAAAATATGAATATGTTGAATGTAAGCGAGATGAATAATATCAAATACGTTAGGCCACTAACAGGTTGCTTAAAATCTCATTCCTACAATAATGTAAAATATATGTTTAATATGAAATATATGTTATTCGCAAATAGATAACAAGAAAAATATTAGTGATGCCAATTATCTAGGTATCTTGATATTTAGGTACTATTTAAATATCCAAGTTTTTTGGGTATTTCCGATTGTTTTTCAAATTTACTTGAGTACACAAATTCCGTAATTATAATTATTTTAATATAATTCCTTAGAAAAATGAGAGATAAATCAATAAAAGATGACAAATGGATTCAAGTATTAGTCGCGATTTCTTGTTCCAAGTACCCGAGTATTTAGTTATTATTTCATATAATACCCAAGTACGCAGATATAGAAAGCATAGACAACATTTGCAAAGATGCAATTCGTGTTTCTATATACGCTCGTGATATATTATTCAAATACACATGTCACGAATTTACTATCAAATAGAGATATATACCATCATACAATAATACCCAAGGAAACATATGTTTAACGTACATCCCACAATCTGCACCAAAGATATTTCGTGCAGTAATTCTTCGCTTAACGATATGAAGCTAAAACACGGAGAATAAACTTTAAACACATTTCCTCTTTATAAAGCATCTATTCGCAAAGCAAATTCTATTTGCTTAAATGTACAAATTTCCCTTAATATCAAATTTATTATAATAATGAATATTGTTACAAAAAGGATACAATGTATTCTTTTGATACTCCAAAATTATATACGAATGGTATGTGCACAACATTTACTTACTTCAAAATGCGTACATGCAGTTGAATAATATTCGCCAATCTCTCATCTACAGTGTCATTGACACCTTCTCGATCGTCAACCAGATGGTTCAACCAGGACATCAGCACCTGCAGTTGACCGCAAGCGTGCATTGCGAGGAGAGCTACCAGGCTACATGCCGCCACCGTGATATTATGGGTGACAATACCACATAGCAGATGGATGAAACCGAAAATCTCGTTGATGGGACTTTGTCAGGTGTCAATAATTACTTTGGGGACCGGGAACACCAGTCGTCGATATGTCAGATTGCTGTTCTCGTCAACGATCTTGGCACGAGTTAGCGGCACAGCCACGTAATAGAACAGAACACTGCCATATATAAAGACACAGCAGATGACCACCAACCGGCGACTGTAGTCCGCGTTCTCTAGCATGATTTTCCGGTCCTCTGCGTACTTCACGTTTTTCCAGTCAGCTTTAATATATTCGATGCACCTGCGAATATTGCTCTCGCGTAAAATCAGAGCGCAATATTTTATTACTGCCATCATAAAAAAGCTGAGCGCGCTGCCGAGCTTTAGTTGATTGTAAAAGTCCTTGATTTCCAATATGATGTACATGCTGCAGGGGATTAGGATCATAACTATTATCGTGTAGCAGATTAAGTTCAGTAGCCTGCACCACAATGTTTCGATCCAAGAATGATTTACGGACAAGGGCCACGTACCGATTAATTTCTAAATCCACATATTAAGTTGTATGCTGACCAGCAGGTCGTTTTTGTAATACTGGTTATGAGGCCGTTTACGGGCACCAGAATAATGGGGTAAACTTCCCATTGTTGCGGTACGAATGGTCGATGCTGATAGTCGCTCGAACTCGCGCTTGTCCTCGCCGCGATATACGCTTGCGCTACTTTCCAGATTTTCCATGAAGAAAAGAATAGTCAACGCAGAACAAGCTCGCGAGCAGCGAGCATTTGTCGGGGAAGTTTGCGTAATTACTTGAGTGAAGGGTACATGAAGTTATGGGAGTCGTTTCCTTATAATAGCTACCGCGTTGGCAAACATGAAGGAGACGACTAAAAAGTAAGGATATATTTAGATCGCATTGTGGTTTAGAAAATCATGAAAGAAGAAAAAATTATGCGTAGTCTGGCGACTGCGCGATTTGGTCTTTATAACATGTCTAGTTAAAAGGTGAATATCTTTCAAAGTTGAAATGTGAAAGTGAATTCGAAGTGGTTAGTGGAATAGGCTGTAACACAAATATGATTTAAAGTTTATGACATTTAAATTTTAATACGTAATTAAATTTGGAGTTATGTTTCTTACTCGTAAACAGATATGGATGTTTTGGTACATAAGGTGAGAATATGTGAGACGTAAAGACTGAATATGCAATATCTATGCAAGACTGAATTAAATTTGCATAAATGATATTTACAATCTTAAATGAAGAATATTATCTTATAAAACATAATAAAAATTCTTAGTACAAATTGTAGTTTATATAAATATTTGTTTTACTAAATGTCCGTTACAAAAATTATCATATATTTATGCGAAGAGAATTTTAATAAATAACATAAAAAGAAGCCAAGTATACAGGATAATTATTATATATTTATGCGATGAGAATTTTAATAAATAACATAAAAGAGGCCAAGTATACAGGACATGACATACTTGTATTATTTTATAATTACAGAATCTTTGATCAATTTTCTGTCGTAAATTCCGAAAATTTCGAAAAAAGCACTAATATTAATTAATAATATTTGTAATAAACATGTACAGACATAGCTATTTATTTTCAGTACATATAGAGAGAACAGCAATCGCACATCAAAGGTGGATTTGAACTGGACTTGAGCTTGAAACTTAAGCTGTATGCTCAGCAGCCATATTTTGCACCTCAGTGCCCCGCATAATGCAATGCATACTAAATCTTTAACATATCGTATAAAATAAGTATATAATATATATCTTTAATATATTTTCATTGACTAATAAATAACTGGGTATTTATTCTTAAATAACCAATTTAAATCGATAAAAAAATACAGTGCAACTGCAATACTAATATTTTATAATTTTTGTCATATTTATTATAAATGGAAAAAGTAAAATTTAATTATCCATTTATCTTAGGAAATATATTAATTACTAAAAATACAATAAATATAATCATATTACTTTATACACGTTAAAATGCATGTACTTAATACTTTCTTAAAATCCTGTTATATAAGAAACAATTAATCGTCTTACATACGGTATATTGCTGATTTATCTATGATTATTGTTATGTAATTTCAATACTGTTACTTAGTTACTTGAAGAGGAAAAAATTCTGACTGTTATTCGGAAAATTTACACTACATTTCGTAAAGTAGAAAAATAAATCTTTTTTTACTCAATTTGCACTCCATAATTTTTTATCGCGTGATATAGTGTGTGGTGCTTAAAAATGGTATAGAACATCATGACAAATGCGCGTCGAATACCTTAAGTAATCATTTTTTATAAACATTTATGTTTTTTATTTATTAAATCACTACTCTCTCAAAGGTATATTTCTTTTCTTTAACTTTTACTCGACATGAGGGCAACTAACTAATTGATATTTATTAGTAATTAATCAATGTACCAATTCGTCCTGCATAATTTGCACATCTTCATCCATAATTTGCACATTTGCACGGAGATATTTTACGAAGTTAATGTGCGTAACATGTTCAAGTAGCCGACAGATGTCTTAACCACCTGTTGGTTGGAAGGATGACACGAAAATCATTCGGTTGTTAACACACTTAATAATCCAGTCATTGTGATACTTACGTCACCAAAAGTACTGAGAGACAACTCAAAGAGATTTCCGGCGGTAAGTTTGGCGGACGAATTGGACATTGTAATTATTAGTACGAGAGCGAGACCCTTCTTTCCCGATAGTCGATGCCAATCGATCATGTACGACACCTCGCCGATCTTTTTGCACTGTTTACAAGATTGGTTCTCATGTTACGTTAAATATAATAATTCCAAAGATAAGAGTTACTTTCTAGCTTACGTGTACATTCACAGTGGGAAGCAATCTTTCAACTACTCTAAATTGTGTGTTAATTTGTACATAGAAAGTTTACATCACAGGTGCAAAAGTATGCTTCGACTGTCAGCACTGTACCTGTTCGGCAATAAGTTCGCCAATATAACAAAGTATGAAGATGTTAAACGTGAGAGATATGAGCAGAATAACGTATGTTACGTAAGCGGCAATCTCTTTATTTTCCCATTCCTGCAACGTAAATTTTTTTTTATTTCACATATATATTATACATGAGTTGCCATAAATCATGCAGACGTTAATCTTTAATATTGAAACAAAATCTTGCGTTTTGCGGTAAGTATTTCTACGATATGCATACCGTGATAGCATAATATCCGAGAAAACACATGTTTAACGTACATCCTACAATTTCCACGACAGATATTTCGCGTAGTACCCTGTCCGTTAGCGATACAAAACTGGAAGACAAATGCTACATTGTATCGCGTTGAAGATACTTCATTTAGAGATGCAATTTCTTTAGAACAGTATCTTAATCGCAAGTATATTTACTTAATAATAATAATGATAATAAGAAACACTGAAATAAGGAAAAATTCACACCTTGTTAAAAAAATACAAAGTAGAAAGGCAGGAGCCAATCGCGCTGCTGCTCAAGTGATAGTTGACATTTTCTGCTTTTCTACTTGCATATTTTCTAATCGGCTCCCATTTATCTGTTTCTTGCCAAGGTGTGAATTTTCCTTAAGAATCATTGATATGACCCCACTTGAGAAAGGACTCACCGCAAGACCCGAACGTGCTGCTGCACAATCATCGCCAGTCTGTCGTCCATGCTGCCGCAAAAATCTTCCCGACCATCCACCAAATGTTCAATCCATTTCATCAGAACCTCTAGACGTCCATAAGCGTGTATGGCGAACACTGCCGCCAAACTGCAAGCACCGGTCGTGATAGAATGAGCGATGAAACCTGACATACATTGCAACCAGAAGAAGATCTCGCTGACGGGGCTATATCGTGCGTCAACGACAACTTTAGCGACCGGATACACGAGCGGCCGATACGTCAAGTTTGTGTCGGGTTCCGTGATCTTACCCATGCTAAACGGCATGGCGAGGTAATAGAACACAGCACCACCGTACATGAAGAACGCGCAAATCACCACAAGTCGACGACCGAATTTTGCGTTTCTGATCATGATGTTCCTATCGCTATAATGTTGCGTGTCTATCCAGTCAGTCTCGATGTGCTGGATGCCTCTGCGGATATCATTCTCGCGGCAAATGAGCGAGGAATACTTGACGATAGCCATTAAGCAAAAGCTCAACGCTCCGGAGAGCTTCAGCGTATAGTAGGTATCTTCGCTTTCGAGTACGATGTACATGACGCAGGGGATGAACAGAAAACCGATCATACTGGTGCAGATTATGTTCACCAGGACGTATACAAATTTTTCAACCCACGAAATATCGGCTGATTGCGGCCAGACGCCAATCGGCTTCAGTAACCAACGATTTAGCTGAATGCTCAGCTGCACATCCTTCTTGTAATCATGGACGGCCGCGACGGGATTCGATTTCCAAGATATAGGTGTTCCTTGCATCCTCGAAGCTCGCGAAAGCTCATCAGCTACTGACGGCATCGCACAAAAGGTCGAGCGCAGAAGGTCTAACGTCGCGACTGCGCCGTGACTATATATAGTTACCTCTTTTAGTTACCACTGCGCAATAACTTCTTTACCAGGATAGCAGCGATAAAACGGTCGACAGGATGAAAAGGGGAAACTTTGTAGACGCAGCGACTTCCGTAAGAGAGTTCGCCACTTCCACATATCTTGGTGTATTATTATATTTTCTGCTTATAAGTTATGTGCGTGCGGTACACATTCTTTATGGATGTATTTTCCGCGATTGTTCTGGATGAAAATGCGAATGTTCCGCGAATGTTTCGCGCATGTTTGTTTACGTGGTGCTAAGTGACATCTTATATATATATATATATATATATATATATATATATATATATATATATAT